TAAGCTATTACAATTGCTGATGATATCCCTAATTATGGATGCTGCTCCGTGAAGTTTACAAGTTTTAGTTTTCTGCAGAATCAGCTGGTCCCCTGTCCTGATATCATGGTTTATGGTGTCTCTTTTCCCTTGCAGGGTCCTACAGAGCCACCCATGTTTGCTAGAAGGCTGTGTGTGTCTCTACAAACACACAGACACAGTGAGGCAAGACATTCCATCTCTCCCCTCTCATCCCTCCTCCCTGCTGCATATCCCTTTACCAAGCTGCTAGATAGACAGCTGCTCTGTCCCTTGTGATCGTGTACTGGACAGGAAGTTCAGGGAAGCTGAGCTGAGAGAGTAGGAGCTGTATGGAAACATGATGACTGTAAGTGCTTGAGCAAAAATGTGAAGAAATACTTTGCTGGGCAATGTACATTATATTTGGTTGATCTGGATTCATTACGTGAAAAAAAGAGAGTTTAATACTACTTTAAGCAAATCACTTTTTACACGGGGAGAGTATTTTTACTCTATAAATTCTAATTGTCTTGCTGACCTTCTGAGTTACTTAGACACATTATTATGTAAATTCCAGTTTTTCTGGGTCAGTATTGATATTGCAGTCATTGGATAAACACAACAGCCAGGGAACTAGCACTTTCAGTGATGGAGGTCAGCAATGGCATCTTATACATACCCAGTTTGCTGACAGTAATAAAATAATTACTTTCGAATTACTCATTTCCATTCTCATTTATGATAAGGATAAATCATTTCTGTTTTGAGTGTTTACCCCATGTTTGTAAATGCCATGGATATATAATCCTAAACATAATGTTCAAACATCATTCAACCAGATGTTGCATAGTACACCAGAATTACCATACTTTGTTGAACATTAGTGTCAGCCTTCTATTAGATCCATCAATTACCTCATTGTGATGACATCACCCTCACATATTGTCTTCCTTTGTATGGCATGAATGTGACATGTACTGACTGGGCCATACACATGCTCTTCTACACCTGCTATATTCTAAGTAATGGATGGCAAACAATGTTCTTCTTACTTATTGTTCTACCCCTTGCTCCTAAACACTGATGTCAGCTAAAAACATCAAACACATGCTTCAGTTAGCACCAAATTACAAAACTGTATCTCAATCAAATTGGGTCATTTTAAAGAAAACCTGTGCTTCGCCAATGCTTCAATGGCCCCTGTCCAGCAGCACATGCTCACCTTTTCTTTTCCACCCTCCATGCCAGGGCCATTCCAATAATGAGGCAGCCCCTCATTGGGTCAGAACTTTTAGCAACCTCCCAGATAGGATAACTTGCTACAAACTTGTGGCAGGGTGAAATTGTAATTTTTGTTAACTTGCTGCACATATTCCTGGCAAGTTGTAGACTTGCCACACAAGTTCTAGTTGACACTTTTTGAATTTGTAGCAAATTTGCTCGGCAGGTCTACAGCAAGAGTCCTGCAGGTCTTAGCAAGAGCTCTGCAAGCTCGCTGGTCTGGAGACTTGCAATGCAGACTTGCTATAATTGTGCAACAAAATTGTGAAGCTTGGCAAGTCTGCAATAGTTTAGCAAGTCATTTTCAGATAGCAGCTCAATTGCTTGCTATCTGGGCTGTAAAACTCTCCGGCTGGCGTCACACCCAGCTCCTGCCAACCAGTGATGTCAGTGAGCTGGGCAGGATGCACGACAGAGGTACCGTGCACCCCCATCCCCAACCCCCCCCCGGTAACATGAGCCGACATCACCCCCCTGGAATTTGCGCCATGCTCCCAACTCCCCCACCGCTGCCAGTAGCATGCACCGCCATCACCGCTTCCTCCGGCCTAAGGCGGTGAAAAGTGCAAGGGTGCCCCTTCTCCACACCCATCAGCCACCAGCAGTGAAGAAAATACCTAGCACTTCCACTTCCACGAATGTAGGAACATGTGAGCTACAGCATGTAACAGTTCAGGTGCTTGACCCAGCATCGTCACATGAGGCTGGGAAGAGACCTTGGGCCTGTGTAAATACTGACTGGAGGATTTCCAGCCCTGAGGACCTTACACAGGGGTGTCCATCTTTGCTCCTTAAGAATGAATAAAAGAGCAATGGAGAGACAGGAAGGTGAATATGTGCTGATTTGGAGGGAGGGAGACATTAAAGTGCACCTGTTGCTTTGTCCTGCATGGATGCATTTCATGGATTGATTTAGGCCTTGTTCACACCAAGCGCGTTCCGGGTGCAGAGCAGAGCAGTTACAGAACGGAACGAAAACTGCGTCCAATGTATTCCAATTGTATTTTGGGCTCTAGTTCACACTGCAGCGTTCAGTTCCAGAACATGTAAAAAAACTTCAGCAAGCCCTACTTTACCTTCTCTGGAACGCTCTGGAACGCATGCAAATTTGCTAGTCATCAAAATAGCTTTCTGAATTCAGAATGGAGAAAGGTAGGTGGATGACCAGCGAAACATCTTCAAGAAAAATACAGCAACTCCAGTTACATTGAATTTGTTTTTGCAGATATAACATGTGGTGAAGCACTAACATGCATTGCGGTGCACTGCCAGAAAAGGTGCAGGTCTGGTTTCTGGGACATTGCGGCACATTGCCAGCACATTCATTTTGATGCGAGTAAAAAATGCATGTTAAAGTGTGTGCATTCATGCAACGCACCCCAGCGCATAGGTGTGAACCTAGTCTAAATATGTGTAGTATTAATGCACCACGTCTGTGCACTGCAATAACAGATAGGTCCGCCTGCATAGAAGTGTGTGAATAAATAGCAATACTTGTCAGCAGCCTATCACTGTGCTTCTCTTGTGTTCCCAGTGGTGCATTAGCTGAAGCATTACACCTCCTATTCATCTGTGCATGAGCTCTAGTCAAAGGCTATGTAGCAATTTTGTAACACAATGAGACCAGCTAAGGTCCTTGAGGTCCATAAATAGTCCAGTGAATAACTACCAATAACAACTGCAATCAGAATCCATCAGTTATTTATCTCCTGGTTTCCTAACCCAACTATATATAGCTTTAACTACAGCACCTAAAATATTATTTTATTAAATACAATATTATGTAATATTATAGAAATATATAACAGGAACATAATGTATGTTATATTATATAATATTGTATTTGCTAGTCTTGGTATAATCACCACCAGTCTGCTAATAATTTCTACAATACCAGCATGTGACACAATAAACTGTATTCTACCAGTTACAAGTCTGGGATATACAGGTAAAATACAAAAGTTCTGTATCTGAAACAACTTTCTTTTGAGGCCCAGTCACACCTCAAAATTGCAGTAAATGTGTGGGATCCATGTGTTTAGCGCACCCTATTGCATGCTTGTACTGCATGCTGCTGCATGGCAGTACCCAAGGCACCCCCTGGTGGGCGAGCATTGTGTGGTACCACAATGATTTGCATTGCGCTGTTGTGCGGTGAAAAAAAGTAATGCTGCCAATGCATATCCCCGTAATCTTATCCACACATGTCATCCCACATCTGAAGAAATCTTGAGGAAT